CCAGGACAACATGGGCTTAGGCTCGTCACGGGCCGGTTCCACCCGATGAGCCCACGAAGCCCGGGACCGCCAGAGCCCATGCCCATGAAGTCCGGCCCGTTTGGCCCACGAAGGCCCGGGCCCGGCCCAGAATACAGTACTATATACAACTACACATGGCAGCATAGCAGTTTAAGGAGAATAATTCAAAAGGCATATATCTATAATCTATGTGAATGCAACTTTTATATTTTTAAAAAGTTAAAGCCAGTCTAGTTTAATTATAGACGGTATAATATGTAAAAGGAAAAAGGGAAACAAATCATCTTTTCACCAAAAAAGAAAAGAAAAAGAAGAATAAAACAGACTTTTGAAGCAAAGAGAGGGTAAAAATTGCACTGGCGCCCCCTTTCTCCTCCTCCTCCTCCTCCTCCTTCTTCTTCTTCTTTCTTCAGCTGCTGCTGTTGGTGCTGCTGTGAAACTTCAGTTCAAGGGATGATTGCCATAAGTATATTTATTCGATTATTTAATAAATAATTATATAAGTTAGTAGACAATAATTTATAAATATTTCCACGTACGGGAAGTTTAAGGTCACACCTAGTGATTCTTTTCATGATAATTTTGTTCTTTTCACGTTTATTGCTTTCAAAATTTATGATTTAGATACTGTTGGCAATTTGATTATTTATCTAGTATGTTAGAAAGCTTTTTCAAAAATTTCAGCTTAGATAGTGCTTAAATTTTTAGAAATGAACTAAATAACTTCAGCATCTTCTGCTGAAGTTTTTGAAAAAGCTTTATGACAAAACTAATGAATCCAAGACAAAAAAACTTTAGCTTATTTAGTGCTGAAGTTTTTATCAATGAACTAAATAACTTCAGCATCTTCTGCTGAAGTTTTTGAAAAAGCTTAATGACAAAACTAATGAATCCAGGACAAAAAACTTCAGCTTATTTAGTTCTGAAGTTTTTATAAATGAACTAAATAACTTCAGCATCTTCTGCTGAAGTTTTTGAAAACGCTTAATGAAAAAACTAATGAATCCAGGACAAAAAAAAATCAACAAATAGAGAACAAAACTTCAGCTACTATGCTTATGTTTAGCAATTACAAACAAAAACTTCAGCTACTATGCTTAAGTTCAGCAAGTACAAACAAAAACTTCAGCATACTTGGTTCAGCAATTTTTGCTAATTCAGGCCCGTCTGCTAGAATGCTAAAGTTGCGTAATTGTCTTTGCTACTTCAGCCCCGAATGCTGAAGTTATGTGAAAAAGTGGATACGCTTGCAATTTTTTTTTACAAAACGGGCACAAGTTAAAACGTGACCCAAAAAACGGGTATAAATACAAATGCCCCAGAGAGAGAAGACAAATACATGAATTGGGCTGGGGCCAATTCCATCGTACCGCATTGAAGCCCCCTAAATGGTTTGATCGTAACCAAATAAAAGCCCAAACATTTTTATTAAATTTCTACGGTAGCAATTTAATGAAGGTGGAATTGCCACGTAGGTGCAGCCGTTAACATGAACAAAAACATAGGACTTATTACATCCTCATCATTTTTCTGCATTGGCAAAATATGCAAATGGCTTTCAAAGTGGCAGCGCGTCCTGTTGTTAGACAAGCCAACATAGCTCTGCTCTTACTTCCTCCTCATTATCGCACTACCAAATCCCACGCTGCTTCTTCTTCTTCACAGGTTCTCCACAATTCATTCTCTCTACTGAATCAAAATGGTAAAAACTTTTCATCCACGTGTCAATTTTTCTTGATTTTGCTGGCTTAAGAGATAATTCTCTGATTCCTTACATTATCATAATTATGAAACTTAGGCTAATTCCCATTTCTATTTCTAAAATTCTCAGGACCAAGATATTCGATCAGGGCAATCAGTGGAACGACTGTGGATCCCGTTGCACCCAAGAAGGATAATGAAGACCACGAAAACTGGAAAATTAAGATGCTTTATGATGGGGACTGTCCCTTATGCATGCGTGAGGTATGTTTAAGTAAATTAATTAATTAATTCTTCTCCGCTCGCCTGTTCTGTTCCATGTAATGGAGGACAATTTTTCTTTTAATTCTTTGAATTACTAATAAGAGATGCTGCTCTATTATATATTGGATGATGGTTTTGTTAGGTTGACATGTTAAAGGAGAGGAACAAAGGTTATGGAACAATCAAATTTGTGAACATTAGTTCTGATGAATACAGCCCAGGGGAGAATGAAGGCCTTGATTATAAGACAGTATGTTCCTTAACTGCCTTTGGTATGTAGTGAACTTAAACCATTCATCAGTTATAAGTAAGTACACCCTGTTTAATTATCTAGCAAGTACCTAGTTATACTAAACTCATGCATTGCCTAGCAGCTCATAGTTTTATCCAGATTTTTTTTAAATTTGTTATGCCGCTGGCGTCCGGGCCAGATTGTGCACACCTTGACTATTTCACTTGATACTTGTTACCAGGGGCGGATTCAGTTCAATAGCTACGGGTTCCCGTGAACCCCGTAGCTTTTGTCTAGAAGTTGTATTTGTATTGAAAAATTCATTAAATGTATAAAAATATTTAGCTTGGAACCCAGTCCGTTTATCTAGTTAGTATTGTATATTAACTCGAGATTTTTGTAGGAACCCATAAACCTAAAATTCTGGATCCGCCTCTGCTTGTTACCTCCCACCAGCACATGTACTGAGTCTGCCACTATGACTTACGCAGATGGGACTAAATCACTGTTTATCCATCATTTTCTTCTGTATCCATTGCTCGAGCTCCCCTTGTTTTTCAAGAAGCAATGACAATTTTATCACCAATTGTTTAGGTTATGGGAACAATACATGCAATATTATCGGATGGAACTGTGGTTACAAATGTCGAGGTTTGGCAAATTTTGATACTTATAATTCTCTCCTTCATATTCGAAAGTTTACATTTGTTTTCTCTTTTATTACTGGTTTAGGCATTTAGACGGCTCTATGAAGCAGTTGGGTTAGGATGGGTGTATGCCATTACAAAATATGAACCTGTAAGTCCTCTTCAATTCTAACTTTTTATTATTGTGCCACTCCAGTTGACATTTCTCATGAAAGATTGTGATTTGCAGATTGCAACTATTGCTGATACTGTGTATGGAGTCTGGGCAAAGTATCGTCTTCAGATAACAGGTTAATCCCATTTGATTGTTATGTTTCAAACTGTCCATATAAAGAAGTCTCGAGATAAAGAGCAGATGGATCTTATCCCCTTTATAGAACCCTTATTCCTATAGATCACATGCATACATGGATATCAGATATCTATATTAGTAGTTACTGCCCTCAACCATTTGGAAATCTTTAATGCAGTAGTATTTTGTTTCTCAGTTTTTACAATTAATTTTTAAGCAGTTTAAAAAAAAATCATCATGGAATGACAGAAGGAAAGTTTTATCCAAAAACTAACTATTTCGAGGGAACATCATTGAAAGAATTCTAATGGCATTACATTTGTTGTGATATCTTATCATGCCATCATTTTGCACTTTAGAAACCCCAGCTTATAGTCTATAAAACAATTTCCTGAAGTGGTATTTCTTGTTACAGGTCGACCACCTTTAGAAGAAGTTCTATTGGCACGAAACAATAAGGTGGGTAAAGACTACAGTGTCCCTATATGGTCATCATTTTCTTTAAGCTAAGTTCTTAGTTATTGCAGTTCATGCCATTTAAAGGATTTCAACTAAACGCATAATCACAAAGAAAGCCCTTTTTTGTCCCTGCCAGTCAATGTATTTATTACACGAGTACCTTTCTCAACCTTTCAGTTGATATGCCGGCTGCATCATGTACTGGCTTCAGATCCATTAATATTTGGAACCTACTGATGCATTCAGCTTTTTCCTCCTGTCAGCATTGAAGAAAAATGCTGTTTAGATTTTTGAATCTCATGTCTGACACATGGAAATTGAATAAGATCTGGAGAGAATGAAATATTACACTTTATTTCCCTTTCTGGCAGAAAACAAACCTGATTTAGATCTTTAGTTTGTCTTTGACTAACATGTTGAACTTATGTCAGAAGACATTCAATAGATAAAGCATAAGGAGGAGCATTTTGTTTGAACTATGTTTTGGTACAGGTGGAGGGCTGCAAACTACTAAGATGTTGCCTTTGTTGTTTCTTTCTATACAGGAGGAAATGTGCAAGGAAAGCAAGGCTTGCAAAATGTAAGAGTTTCAGAATGTTGGAGCCATCGGATGTTTATCAACAGAGTCAGATCTACTTCTACGCTCTTGCTGAAGCTGATATAGAGTACAAATATGGAAGGCCTTACAGTTGCTTTAGTCTTTTCAGCAATTACTATAGAATTGTATACAGCACTTGTTTTCTATTTTTCTACATATTTCAAGAATAGAAGAATATACCAGAATATACAGAAATTTCTCCAATAGTTGGTCAAATGATGTAGTTAACAAATGTATCCTTTTAATTCTCTGAATTAACTGATTTAAGAAAAAGAAAGAAGAAAAGGAAGAGGATTTTCCTCCTTGTTCTTGAGAAGTCCTACATACCTCGTCATGGCATGTGTTCTGCCAGCAGGTGAATCCCAAAAGCAATTCATCTCTGCAGTATTGGTCATGGCATTAGAATGAGATCTATCATGTCAAAATGGTCATAAATGGAAGCTCATAAAATAACCAGGTGCAGTTGTTCAGCAAATCATTTCTGATAAGATAACTAACTGCGATCAATAATTTCTACATTGTCAGGATTCAGAGGACTTCTACGAGGAGTAATAATGAAATAAGGCGACATGTATGATTTCTCTAAGTTAGAAATTCAGCCAACATGAGAACATCACTTGAGAAGGCATAGAAGCAGTTTGTAAGGATTAAGAGTGGCATTGGTAGAAAGAACAAAGCCCTGAGTTTCTCTCGTGGAGAACTTTAAGTAGCGCTAGTTGAGGACCTCAGAAACGGAGAGACAGATAAAAACTTAGTGCTAGTTGAGGACATCAGAAACGGAGAGACAGATAAAAACTAGTACAAACTAAACCAAAAAAACTAAGTTGATTACAGGAATACAAAGAAGATAATAGGAGGTGTAGTACACGTTATATGAGATAGCTGTGACAGCATTTCAATAGGTAATACCTTTGAGAGGATATCCCAATGGTGAGAATTATTTACACTTCGAGCTCAACTAGTAACTTTAAAGAGGTGCTCAATGAAAATTCATTTTCCTAGTATGTAGCTTGAAAAATAAGAAAATACTACAACAAATTACGAGAGAGAGAGAGAGAGCAAGAAGGCATACGCTAGCATCGAGTAATTTCCAAGTCACTTTTACGTGTTAGTAGCAAATAACTTGTCTTATTTTTAAGATCACATTTTAAGAAGGCTTTACCTACAGATATCCATTGACTGATCTGATAGTATGAAAAAATCTTATACTGATGGTGTTTATAGCTTAAACTCTTTCCATATTACTAGAGCAACAAGTTATTTTTCTTTGATAAGCATAAAAAGAATCATACCTGTGTTGTCTCTACATTTCTTTTTGTTGCAGTTCTATTCAATGCATCCAGTCCAAATCTCCAGCAACTTGTTGACTATTTTCTCAACAAGTCAATTAGTACTTCCCCACGCGACTTTAGTTTTCCTTTCTTGACTGGCTATTCGAGCTCCACCTGGTAAAATATAGCTCAAGTAATATGAACACAAAGTCTTGCCTCACCAAGTATTATTTCAACCCCCTTTGTTGTTGGCTACAGTCATATGAAGCAACTTTGGCTACAGTACAAATAAACTTATTCTAAAAGGGAATAAAAGAGAAGCATATAGTATTGAACTGAGTGGAGAGCAACAAAAAGATGGCTTCTTATATAGGAGTTGAGATTTCACGAAATAAAGACTTAGTTATTGGGATTCTTAATTATGAGACGATCATCAATAATATTCGATATAATTAACCTTGATATGAAATGAATCTAAACACATTCAAACATACAACGGTATTAGACTTTAAACATGCTAACATGCACCTATATACATGCCCTCTTAAAGTAATTTGAGAAATGCTAAGTGAAGTGCTACAGGTTAAAAAATGAAGATTTCAAAGCAGCACTGCAGCAGAACAACGAGTAATTAAGAATCTGCAGGAAAAAAGTTACGTTTTCCTGTCTATGATGAAGAGCTCTGGGATGTATCCTACCAACTGATAACATCACGAGAGTAGTCAAAACTCTTTCTACTATAGCACTTAAAAATCTTTAGCAATCAGAAAAATCACTAAGAAAAAATGGACCTGCTGTCAAACCCTTTAGTGACAGACTAAAGCCACAGAATCAAACGATTTTCCGCTTCTTCAGAACTTGAATATCTAATGCTGCAGCTCTTCTTCTTGCACAGAGCAATATTAAGACACCGAACAACAATCTCCACCGCCTCTGCGCTTTTACCATAGATGCAGAAGAATCATGAGGTTGATGAGCATCGGATTCAGAAACAAAGTCTTCACACCCGAAGTTGCATTCATTAATCAAATAATCTTGGAATGAAGGACTATACAATGGGAAGTTGGAGAAATCCAGGTTACTGATACTGGTGGAACCACAACCATTCGGACTGACTGCACTTGCAAGTCTGGAGGTATGACAATGTCCATCACTTATTCTTAAATTCTCAATACCATTGTTGGTGCTAGGAACCTCTCGACTTGGAGAATTCAAAGGGTTCGTTGATGGCGATATTTGAGAAAGATATTGCACAAGAGATGTCTCATCATCAACCGGTACCACAAGATCCCAATGGTCACATGCAGATACTAGCAGCCTCTGAGCTTTAGCCTGTCAATCTCACTCCATAATAGTAAGAAAACAGCAATAGAAATGAAATAAGAGCACCAAAAGTAAAAATAGGGAATTGGAGAAAAGTTTGGTCCAAAATTCGTGCCTTATCTCTTTCAGATAACTGATGCATAGGTTGAAAATGGAAGTCCAGAACAAGCCCTAGTACCTCTCCTACAATGTTAAAAACCACTCCTTCCTTTTCTTGAAGGTCAATGAAAGAATACATCCGTTCATTAATTATGCATCTTCGAGCGTGGCTAATTGTCTCCTCCAATATCTTTGGCTTTAGATTAAGTACCTGAAAATCAACAAATACATAAGTCACCAGCTTTAGGTTGTAATGAGGGTTAAACATGTCTGTACAATGAAAAATTGTTCTGAGATTGTTTATCTTAATGCTAAGTAATACAAAGGTTAAATTGACAGTATCAATCCTTGATATCATAGTAGGTCTAGGTATCCAATCGATGAGTTAGAAAGTTTTCATAGTTAACCCTTGAAGATGTATTCAGTTCAGAAACAAATAAATATGTTTATTTCGGTAGAAATCACTCCCTAAGGAGAAACTTAAAACGAAAAGACAAAACTAATTACACATTTGAGTCGCTCATGGTCTTTGAGGAGCAAAATCAGAAAGTCCTCTACTGTGTCGACATTTTCATCCCGGAGGCGCTTCTTACTGCCTCTGCCTACGTTCTTTAACCGCTGTACCCCATCATATAGAGATGGTGGATCATGCTTCTCATAATCTGCAAAGAGAACCAACAGCAATCAGTATGCACTCTAACATATTAGATCTTGTAATTGTTTAATTTCTCAGCTTTATCTTACCTGTTGTGCCTCATCAGTACTGAAATATAGAGAAAACTAAGAAAATTTAGTTAATCACATTTAGGTCTGAGTCTAATCTCCACGTGCAAGGCCACAACATGCCACAACTTTTAGAGGTCCACCTTCGTAGCCAACTTTACTCACATAGTTTTAACCATGCTACCATATATGTTACCAAGTTAGATTGATTAACTCCGATATGTGCCTGCTCCGATATGTCCCCTAAACTGTAATCTAGAATTCTGATACTCGTCTAGTATAAAAATTTCACAGGGAAAATTTCCTGAGAAGCTATAGTAAGATTTTCTTTTCAAAACTTTGACCCCGCAATCACCCTCCTTTATCTGCTTATATCGTGTAAATAGTGCTACTTACATTGCTGGCGCCCATCCTTGACAGTGAAAGATTCAGTCCTTGCTTCTTTTACTTGAATACCATTGAAAGTGTCAACGATTCTTGCACCTAGCCTGAACATACCCGTCCTCATGTAGATTGAAGAATGTGTAAATCTGAGCTTATCTATAGAACCAATGCCTTTATTAAGTCTCACATGTACAGTTTCTGCAAGAAGAGACTTATTTCCTTCCCTCTCTCGGACAATATTTCTACAGAACTCTTCAGCTGTCCAATTACCTCCATCATCATCTCCAAAATCTCCCATAAGAACAACTATTTCCACTTTAGCTGAGGCTTCTGCTCCAGATTCAACAATTTCCCCAGTATGATCATTAACTAAAGCCACTTCAATAGCATTACCTCCTCCTCCTTTAATTTCCACTCCAGTAAGTACAGGGTCGGATACCTTTGTCAAGAACTTTAACTTCAAGCTTCTTGGTTTGGGAGCTTGAATACCTTTCTCAGTGTTTCTGGATATGAGATTGACAATCAAATACTATCACTGGCTAAATGGAATATACGAATAGAGAAAAAAACAGAGAATGTCCCTTACCCCTTGGCAGTCAAAAACTTCTTCTCTGCCAGTTCAAGTTCGTGTTTTACCTGGACAGAGAAAGTAGATTAAGAAGAAGTCTTTGCAAGAAGAACATCAACTTCATAACAACTAAGTCCCCAAGAATTAAGAAGCATATGCTTTCTGGAGCAATAGCCACCGGATAGGAAATATTCACTAAAACACTTTCATGTTTTAGGTGACGCTTGTTTTGAAAAATTGAAGAGTTTGAAGAACAAAACACCACCTTAATGATTCCAAATCGAACCTGTAAAGTCACTGATTAACAACAACAACAACAACAACAACAACAACAACAACAAAAAAACCCGTGAATTCTCACAAGTGGGATCGAGGGAGGATAGTATGTATTTAGACCTTACCCCTACCCTGGGAGGACAGAGTGGTTGTTTCCGATAGACCCTTGGCCCCTCAGCTAAATAAAAGATGAAAAGAAGATAACAAGTAACCGTAAAGTCATTGATTCATAGGACAAATTAGCAACTATTCCCCTGCCTAACATCAGGTGAATGTTTCACCTGTAGGCCAGTTTTCTTGATTTTCCCAATAATATTTATTGATACTAGTCAATCTTTTACTAACTTGACTAAATTTGGTAGACTGAAATGCTAGAGATCAAAATCCATTGTAATATCATCTATGAGAATGTAAGCATCTGACAGAATCATTGTGATGAAACTTGACTATAAACTAGAGCGAATTCATAGATTTGAAGTTTGAGTACAGTCTAATTGATCATATAAACTTACTGCTCAGAAGTTCAAGAATTGTACTTACAACATTACGAATCAAATTCTCCAACTTTGGCTTCAAAACGCGGTCAAAGGTCTGGATAACCATCACCTCCAGCAATTTCTTCATCCTATTAACAAAAAATCAAAGAACGCAAGAATTAAGAAAAACATAAACCAGAAACTTGTCGAAGCAACAACAAGCAGAAGCAATTGCCTGATAAAGAAAAAGAAACATCAAGCTGAAGCGACTGTCACATAAAGAAAAAATCTTGAATTTATTGGGAAAGAATATTGGCAAATAAGCAGAATCCATTTAATCAGTGGAAAAGAAAAAGAAAGAGAAAAAAGGTCGTTGAGTAAGAATATTCAGTTCACAAACAGAAAGCCAGTCAGATTATTGATCAAATCCTACAACATATGCTCAGCACTGCGTGGTTTAAGGGTAAACGAGATGAGAGTTGACTTACGTTGGTGAAGAGAAAAAGGGTAACAGCTCATCCTCTGAATTGCTGTTCTGTGTTCCTAATTCCTGAGAATTCGACATTATGTCATTCATGGAAAGTTTAAAACTCAAAAGTTGTTGGATAGTAGCAAGAACAAATCTAAAGTAGTTTATGATTGGGAGATATGGAAGTGAATAGGTAGAAAGACATACATATATATATATATACATAGTAGGGAGTGAAGACTTTTCTTGATATAGAGTGACTAGGAAAGTGGGTCCCAAAGAATGCGTGTTCCTAAAAGAAAAGAGCCGACCCAATTGAGAGGAATACACTCTCCTACACCATCTATGCCGTCGTTGCCCTTGCCCTAGACTTTGTTTGTACAATTCAATCAAGAAATTTAATCTTTTTATCCTAAGGCTTTTGATCGAGTTTTGTATGATTTTAATTTACTAATAGTTTCAAAACCTTACACAACTATATAGTGTGAATAAGTCACAACTACTATACCAAAAATTATGACAGTCACCAAATAATAAATAAGACAATAAAGCAATAATAAAAGAAACACCAGAATTTACGAGGTTCAGCCATTTTTGCCTACTCCTCGGACACAACCAATATTTTATTCCACTCCAAAAATACAAGTGAAATAATACTAAAGAGAGAAGATACAAATGTCTTAAGAAAATAAATAGGCAAATGAGAGGTGTGTTTAATTCCTAAACATTAGACCTCCTTTTATAGGGTAAAGCACCAACCAAAATTGGTACTTCACCGATGTGGGATTTTTGCCATTCAACAAATCTCCACCTTGGCAAAATTTCACATCTTCAATTTTCTCTCANGCTAATTTTGCCTACTCCTCGGACACAACCAATATTTTATTCCACTCCAAAAATACAAGTGAAATAATACTAAAGAGAGAAGATACAAATGTCTTAAGAAAATAAATAGGCAAATGAGAGGTGTGTTTAATTCCTAAACATTAGACCTCCTTTTATAGGGTAAAGCACCAACCAAAATTGGTACTTCACCGATGTGGGATTTTTGCCATTCAACAAATCTCCACCTTGGCAAAATTTCACATCTTCAATTTTCTCTCAATAACAAAATTTTAGTTGTGTCTTCATCTTCAATCTTCAATGTTCAACAATGTTGATCGAATCCAAACAATTTTGAAACTTGACCGCAATTACCACTTTTGCCAGCATATCAGCAGGATTCTCTGTAGTATGAATTTTCTTCACCGTGACTCCACCTTCTTCTATGATTTCTCGTACGAAATGATACCGAACATCAATGTGCTTCGTCCTTGCATGATAAACTTGGTTCTTCGCTAATTGAATAGCACTTTGACTATCACAAAAAATTGTGATACCTTTTTGTTCAACACCAAGCTCCTTTAGCAACCCTTGAAGCCAAATTGCCTCCTTCACAGCCTCTGTAATAGCCATGTACTCTGCCTCTGTTGTAGACAAAGCAACTGTTGACTGCAAAGTAGACTTCCAACTAACTGGTGCCTTTGCAAAAGTAAACACATAACCAGTAGTTGATCTTCGTTTGTCCAGATCACCCGCAAAATCTGAGTCACAATATCCAACTACAGACTGATTGCCTTCCTGCTCAAAAACTAACCCAACATCTACAGTATTATGAATATACCGTAGAATCCACTTCACAGCTTGCCAATGCTCCTTTCCTGGATTATGCATATATCTGCTAATAACTCCAACAGCTTGTGAAATGTCAGGCTCGTACAGACCATTGCATACATCAAGCTACCAACAACATTTGCGTATGGTACCTTTGACATATACTCTCGTTCAGCTTCATCCTTTGGCGACATAGTATTACTTAGCTTAAAATGGGGAGCAAGTGGAGTACTAACTGGCTTAGTCTTTTCATCTATGCCAAAACGTTGTAGTACTCTTTTCAAATATTCTTTCTGAGATAAACAGAGTTTCTTTGAACGTCTGCCTCTTATTATCTCTATGCCAAAAATTTTCTTTGCCTCACCCAAATCCTTCATCTCGAACTCCTTCTTCAGTTGAATTTTCAACTTATCAATTTCTTTCAAATTCTTGGAAGCTATCAACACATCATCAACATATAGGAGAAGATATACAAAGGAACCATCTTTAAGCTTG